AAATATGGAGGTTTCCCTCCTATTGCTTGGCCTTTGGAAGTCCGATGAAGGGAGGCTCCCATCTTCCCCCTACAAAGAGAAAACAGATGGCATAAAACATGTGCATGAAAGCAAGAAACAAAGAAATGAAACAGTTTGAGGATTAACATCTTACCACTTCTCTATTGACAAAGAGTCCATGCCTGGGCCTGTATCAATAATAGATATTCTATCATCTGAAATCTCCACACTGACAAGAAATGAAAGTTATATGAAACAGTAGAAACCAAAATCCTATGAACAATTCTTGGCCAAAAAGTACCACACAGGACTCCTTGTACCTTATTAACCTCTTCTCCTGTTCACCATTAGACCACACAGCTTGCAATGAATTATCCTATAGTAAAAAAGTATGACATGAGAGTCTTGACGATGGGGTTTTAAGGAAAATTAATAAAAAAAAAAAACATCATTTATTACAATTATATCAGCCAATGCAGTTTCAAAAGTGTACTCTTCAGGGAGCTCCTTAAGTAACTCGGTGTCTGGTGTCAAATCCCACATGTTCTAAAGACAAAAACAAAGAAAGAAGGCTTTACAGTTCGGGAAATATTGTGAAGCAACAGAATACAAACCACAGGCAATCAGGTTATATATAATCATTCCCGAACAAACCTCATAAATTTTTGCTGGCTGAGACCCATCCTGTTACAGGATCATTATAAAGGAATTACAAACAAGTTTAACAGATAAAACATGAAACGAAATAAAGCTATTTCAGAAGGAAAACAGGGACTCACATGAAGTCTCAAATTGTAGACACGATTGGGCTCTAATTTCGTCAACGTAAGACTGTTCCTAAAAACATGATCGGAATCGTCAAGAAAACATAACTGTGCATTCCAGTTAACTTGTTTCTTAGGGCTAGATGTCTTTTGCACAGCTTTAGCATATTCATTCCTTACTCTACCAGCCAATTCTTCGACAGTAAGACGCTCAGTGCCTTCAGGAATTTTCAACACGACAGTGACCCCATTCGGCAAAAGAATTTTCAGCTTGTAAACTCTCCTTGGACCTGATACATCTTGACTAATTACTCCCAAGGAATCCGGCGTCCTTCTCTTGAATCGCTCAACGTCGGAAGTCTCATTTAATCTCTTTTGTGGCGTTAGAAGATGACGATCACCGTCCATCTTGAAACGTAACGCAGAAGGAAAGTTTTCTCTTCGGAAACTCAAACAATATCAACTCTTGTGTTTCCGTGACAATGTGACTATGAGCTAGAAACTGCGGATGGTTGTGATTTTGATCTTAAAAGTTTAATTGCAAGAAATCGATTATCGTTTGATTATTAGAAGCAACGAAAATCCTGAATTGTGTATGCGAGGAAACGTGGTGGACAAGGGTTTTACAGGGGAAACGGAAAGTCGGAAACGATCATAATGGAGAGAGCAGAGTGTAGGAGTGTACGACTTTCAGAATACGCCTGAACGCGGCTAAAATAAGCCGGGTGTAATCATTCCGCAGCCTGTTTCATATTCCAAATCCTTCCGATATATTTTCTTTACCATATTAAATGAAAAGTTTTTGTTATTTTATTTTTTTAATTAAATATAGCATTTTATCGTACTTGTGCTCAATTAATAAAAATTGAGTTACATTTACAACAAAAAAACCTTTAAAATTTGACACTTTTTTCTATATAATACTTTTCAAAAAAATATATCTAAAATATCCTTATAAACTGTCTTATTGATTTTTTATTTTTTTTAAACTGGAAAAAAACATATTTCTTTTTTTGCATATAAATTTATGTTATATATATATATATATATATATATATATATATATATAAGGTTTTTTTAACTGTTTAAGTTGTCATTTAATCTCAACTCTAATTACTATATTTATTTATTGCTAAAATATTTGCTTAACTTTTTTAGCGGTAATAAGAATACAAGATAAATGGATTATTTACCAAAATAAGAAATACGAATTTATAAATGGTTGTTAAATGTTAAATTTTTATTTTTTTTAAACGATAAATATAATCTATTTCTGATTTCACATATGTTTCAAACGAGACTTGAACCCTTAACCTCAAATCATTGGTATAAAAAATATTATTTCTATTGGATCTCTCATATATATATATATATATATATATATATATATATATATATATAAAATACATTTATATATATAGTATTAGTTGTTAAAGATATGGATTTAATTGGTGATTTTGTCATACAAATGTTACGAGACGCATGCATTCCATGGGTTGTAGTACCATACAATCATGCTTTTCATGGAACTCTTCAAATCATACATACTTATAAAACTAGCATTTTTTCTTGAATCTTATGCATTTGAAACCCTTTTTTTAACTTCCTCAAAGCACATTTATTTGAAACCCCCTTTTTTAACTAATGCAACTCAAAAGTTTTCTTAATTATGATTTAACACTTAAAAGTTTTATAACTTATATTATGTTTAATTAGCATTTAGTGAAAAGTTTACTATAAAAAGGTCAATCTTTTGTGTCTTTTGTGTGTTATATAAAATCTTACATGTAAGAAGGATGTCATAAGAAAATGAAAAGAAAAAAATTTTCAATAGGCACAATTCTTTTAGAACGTATTTGCAGTGATGGAGTCCCTAAAAGAGCTCTACAAGTCAAGGTTGTGGATGAATGTATCATTTTTTACTCATAATTTGATCGTGTTATATGTTTTTTCCAGTAATATAAATAAGACCATTCAAAATCATATGTTTAGAGATATTTTGTTTTTTCTCAAACCATAACATTCAAAATCATATGTTTAGAGATATTTTGTTTTCTCAAACCATATTGATTTGAAACCTACATAACTTTTTATATTCTTTAATTGAAACCATTTATAGTATTTATAAATTTCCAATAATTTTTTTGCATTCTCTTATTATATATGTAGTTATATTAGTACATTTTTCTTACAAAAAGTTGTCATTCGGTTGAAGATATTGTGATTCAAAAGTTTTAATATAGTTGAAGCATTTACGATCCAAATATGATGATTTGAAGAAATAGGTTATGTCGCATCGATGATAATTATAATATGATTTTTTCTTTCAACCAAAACAAATGAAGCTTTTCTATTCTTTCTTTATATTCAGTTTCTCATTTAATCTTTATATGTGATTTGTGTGTATTACTCAATCTTGAATGTGACTCTCCAAACATCAATGTTTTGCTTGGAATATCTTTCTGATTTCTTCTTTTTCAAGAAAAGTATTTTTATTGCAGGTTAGTGAAGAATTGTCATTAAGTTTCTATGGTTGAATGGTGTTAAATGAAGAAAGAAGATTCATAAAATGGATATAGGTTTTTTTGTTTGAGCAAAGTTGACGAATGTTAGTTTTTTCTTTTGATTTAAATGTATGTTTATGTAACATCTTTATTTATATATTCAACCACCCAATGCTCTTATTTATTTGATTGTAGTTTTTCTATTTTGATTATGCTTATTTTCTATTATTTTTTTGTTGGGTTATCCTACACAACATATTTAAAAGATAACATAATTTTGAACATTTGATATGTAATTATGATAGACTTATCATGATATGTTCTTCATATGAAAGTAATTTATCCATATTACTACGACAAAAATTACATATGACATTTACGAAAATATATATATTATATGTGATTTGTTTAACATGTATATGCACCTATGTATGTTATAAATTTATAATTAAATATCTTTATGTTTAATAATTGAAGGGATTAAAATGATGCATCAAAACCAATTATTTAGACGAATATAATAATAATAATAATAATAATAAATATACATTTTTTCAAGTACCGCATTCATTTGAAACTCACACTACAACTCAAGAGTTTTCTAATTTATGTATATTTATTAGTTACAAGTCAAGAGTTTTTAACTTATGATTATTAATTAGTAATCACTAATAACTTTTTATTTTCCTTTCTTTTATAAGGTTGTAAAGTTTTGCTCATTAAAAACATTAATGTATTTGAAGAGATTTATGAGTTAAATATGAAGAGTTAATAGAAATGTTATAATAGATGTTTTAGTGTTTTTATGTTATTAAAAGTTATGGTGTTTATTTTTCATATTTTTTATTATTCGTTGTATATATATCTTCTTTAATACAAATGTTATAATATATGTTTTTCTATTTTTATGTTACTAAAAGTTGCAGTTCATATTTTTGTTCATACGTTTTGTTACCCGTTATATTATCATTCATTTGATATATAATTTACACAATTTTAAACGGTTTATAAAATTATCAAATAATTGTATATATCACAATAACTTAAAAAATAAACTATAATGTTTAATAAAACTAATATGTTAATTATATGTTTGCTTTACTAGTAACATTTTGTTTCAAAGTAGAAATATTAAATAATAATTTGGTAAAAGTTATTATTTTAACTATATAATTCTATTCTCGCGCAACTTGCGGTGATTCGCCTAGTTCATATAGTATTTGATTAACCTTTGAGAAATTGATGATCCATCCACATAGTTTAAAGAAATTACACCCATGGTCCGGTCTAGAGACAGTCACCGGTGGAAGGGAACGATAGAAGGCTTTACGGCGGTATAGAGAGAGAAAGGGAGGTATTAATTGATGGCCGTGGACTATGTTATTTTTAAAATTCAAAAGTGAAGTTTATACAACTAGGAAAAAAAAAATGAGATCCTTTTAAAACAAAAACTATAAGTTAGTTTGGCTACAATTAGAGTAACCCTTGTATTTTTAATCCTTCGAGAAAAAACTACAACTTAAGTCATCAATGACTGATCCAAAAGCAAGGAATAATTCGTCAACAATCGGAGATTTTGCAAATCGTCTCTCAATTAGCTACAAGCATTCATATGGTTCCAAAAGCAAGGAATAATACGACATGTATGGATGTAGCATATGTTTCAATCTATCGTTCTTTGTTTGTTGTGTAATTATCTAGACCAACAGCGGTGAACGGATCAATTTGAAATATGAGTTGGAACCCTAATTTAATCTTCTACGCTTGCATTGCAAAAGACACTACAATCCTAGCTGAATTCAATTCAAAAGATGCAGATCTTGGCGATTTAGCTAAGAAGTGCCTAGAGAAGACGCCGCCCTTCCATTCCATCTTCTCCCATACTGTTCATGGTGAAACATACATGTTTTTCATCCTTGATCCTTTCGTATATTTTGGAATATTTGATGAATCGCTCGAGAAACCCGAATGTTTGTTGTTTCTCAAAAGCGTAAAAAACGCGTTTACCAGTATGATAGATAATTGCAGTTCTGGCATGATGAAACAGCGGTTGTATTCCCCAAATTGGCATTGTTTCCAAGGAGAATTTAGTCCGGTGTTTCAGCAGCTTCTGGCTTCAAATTTGGAATTCGATGCGACGTCATCGGCGGCGGATTTGAAAGACGATCACAGAGAGAGTTTAAATTCCGTGAGAAGGAAGAACAAAGGGTCTACGGATTCTTCCTCGATGAAGAAAAGGTTTTTTGGCGATGCCGACAAAGACGGAGCAGAAGAAGGGAAATTGGATTTGGATAATGACGATGGGTCTGTTTCAAGTGGGAGTAGGGTGCAAAGGGCGAGGTACATTTGGAAGAAACAAGAATCGATGGTGGTATTGTCTATGGACTTGATCAGAGTTTGTGGTGTCTTGTTGTTCGTGATATGGCTTTGGGTTAACTGTTAAAAGCCATTCATTTCATCTACTACTGTAAGAATAGATTGATTACTCCATGATAAGGAAATAATTTCTTCTACTGTAGAACGTGTTATATGCATATTACAATGTATCATATTGGCTTAATAAGTTGATGATTGTTTGGGGGAATGATTATGATTTATGAGATGAGGGCAATGATGATATTCATGCATGGTTAGTATTCATAAAATTGGGTGTTTTAGTTTTAGCTTTAGGAATTAGGCATATTCCCTTATTCCCAACACATAATGCCGTTTAAAAGATGCTGTTAGGACTTAGGAGCAGAAAATATTTACCTTGTAATTGTAAACAACTTTAATTAATATCTAATACATTGTTAATTTGTTATTCTATCGGCTTGTAGCAAGCAACGTGTAGTGTTATAAATGCATGACTACAAGTGGGTGTAAGGGCAATTTTGTGATTTTCACTAGGCCTGCAATAACAAATTAACAATCTAGTTACTACTTCTACCCTTTTGTTTTCAGGTGAAGAATCAATCAACAGTAGGACTTGGAAGATGGGGTTTGAAGAGGAACCAAAATTATTATTACTGTTTTCACAGCGTTTCAGTAGACTGGAGCTGGAGGGTGGCTTTACTCCGCCACCAGACACCTACACCGGAGCTGGAGCAACCATCCCGTTTCAATGGGAGGAGGCACCCGGAAAACCAAGATGCACCACTACCAGTGATCCGGCACCACAAGGTGTGAGGTGTTTGAATCTCCCTCCGAGACTGTTGATGAATACCAAAGAAGAGAGTATACAGACACAGTCACCAACAAGTGTGCTGGATGAACCTTATTCCGGCATGTCTTCACCTGGTAGAAGTAAGTGGAAGATGATGATGGGATTGAGGAAGATGATGATGTGTAAGGGAACATCATCGCATCAGCTCCGATCATGGAGTTTAGATAGTTTCACGTATATCAGCAGCAGCAGCAGAGATGGTGATTCCTCTTCATCATTAAATGACGTCTTTTCAGATTCTCTTGATTCCAACGTTAAAAACAACAAAGTTTCAACGACACGTGGCCTCATCTTCTTCAACAAAACCGCTTTTAGCATCTTGGTAATTAACTTCCAAACTTTATGAATCTTTAGTTTAGGGCCCTTTGTTAAAATAGAAAGTTTGACCTAATTAAGTAAAATGTTGGTGTAAATTTACAGGAAAACATGAATCAAAGCATTAATCAAGTCGTCCCATGGAGACGATAGATCGTCTAGCTGTGTTGTGTACATACTGCAACTACCATGGAATTTCTGGAACATTTGCTCATTAAATGGATCTTTCTTATTTTATGATTCCCATTTTGCGTCATGGATCTTGTTAAATTATTTCAATCCAAAACTCGTTTACAATTTCCAAACTACCAACCAAAACATTTTGCTAAAATTAAACCCAAATGAATCAATGGATCGATCAAATGGGCTTTGGTTCACGTCTACAGATCCAGCCCAACATATTTGGGCTTTTGAAATAATCATTCAAAGAAATTCCGATTACCTTATTCCCCCTCGGATTATAGGCTTTCATTCTTTTGCATAAAATGAGAAAAAAAAATTAACTTATGTAGTTGACTTTTTGGAAACGGAAACGAATTAACCGGAAGCCTACTCGCAATATTTCAGCAAGCACCCTGGATTCGATTTTTTTTACAGGGCAAACTCAGCCCCCATAGGAATTTCCAGAAGAAAATTCTCCATATGTGACACCGCAAGAGGTAGATTAAGAAAATCGAATTTCCAGCTTCACGTCCCCGGAATTTAACAAGACACCCACATCTATCACAAAATATTTGACCACAAACTTGTGGGAATTATTATTATTATTATTATTATATGACATAAAACACCACATATAAACATTCGTGAGAGTACAACTTATTCTTCACGATATATATTTATGATATTTTTAACGGTCCCTATCAAATAAAGTCCGTTAAGAAATTGCTAGTCACATATTTTCCTTGCAAATAGTAAAATTTTGTTTGTTTCAATGAATCATTCCACCATACACTATAATTGATCATCGCTGCATAGTGGCTTTGCAATGTGATTTTTATGTCTTTTGAATTCTTGGTCATTCATTAATCTATCATTTGTAGTCAACGAGAACTAGAAGGTATGCCTTTTTAAAAATATATTATAATACACTAACAAGAGTTATAAATACTTAAATAGATTACTTAGGGCATTGCCAAATATTACTGTAAGGAACATGCGTGTATATGTGGCCACACACGACTCTAAAATAATTATTAAATTAATTTAATCGATTGATATAAAGATTTCGAATACATATTATACATAAATATAGACAAAATTACATAAATGGTTCATGTATTTTATAAAAAGTTGCATTCTTAGTACCTAATTTTTTTAATGAAAATGATCTTTATGGTTTTAATTTCTTACAGTTTTTGACCCATCTAAAATTACGTTTTTACCCTTTCTAATATCTTTTATCATTTTCTTTCACCAATTCCTAATTTACGTAAATAATATTTATTTATATTAATATCTTATAAATAAAAACACCCCTAACCCCTTCCCATCCTATACCTAGGTTTGTGTTAGAAAACCAAAACCAAATAACCAAACCGAACCAAATAATGTTTGGTTAATTTGGTTCGGGTTATTTGGTTTTCGGTTAATTCAGATTGATTAACAGAATAATGATATCTTATATGGGTTGGTTTGGGTTAAACCGAATAAACTACTTAATTTATATATATAAACTTATAGATTGGTTACTAAGATTTTCATAACTTATTATTTAGTTATTACCCATTATAAACTTATAATTATTAAGTATTTTTTATTAAAAAACAAAAACAAATTAACCAAATGCCAATTAACCTCCAATCATTTCTCTCATCTTCATATTCGACTAAAGTTATATTAACATATATCTACAACTTGTATGTCTACATCGACTCTACAATAGGGATGAGATTTAAAACCGAAAAAAACCGGATCGAAACCGGAATCAGACCGGAACCGGAACTGTTAGAACTGGAATATATAGAACCGGTTCAGGTTTTGGATGTAAAAAATGACTTTATTCAGGTTCCGGGTAATCCGGGTTTGGGTCCATCGGGTTCGGGTAAACCGGGTTTAAGAACTGGAACCACATTTAGGGTCCGAAACTAGTTTCTGTGAAAAGTTTAAAACATTCATATCCCATTCGTTCCAAGTAGGATTGACATGCCATTTTTTCCAACGTGTATTTAGAGTTTGTACATGATTCTAGACTATAAATTTGTCCTTTTTAGTTTTATATTCATTGACTTACAGTCCCCCAAAATCAAGATATCAAAGTTGAGAGTTTTTAGCTTTTTTGTATTTTATGAAAATTTTAAAATATGCATATCTAATTCGTTTGAAGTCCGATTGACATGCGTTTTTTTTTTCAACTTGTAGTTTAAAGTTTGTACATGATTTTATACTGTAATTTTGTCATTTTGGGTTTAATAGTCAATGAATTACAGTCCCCGGAAGTCAAGATATCAAAACTTAAAATTTTCAACTTTTTTGCTATTTTTTTGTACTTTGTATTCTTTAAAAATGTTAAAACATGCATATCTCATTCGTTTAAAGTCAGATTGACATACGATTTTTTTTCAGATTATAGTTTAGATACATGATTTTAGACTATAATTTTGTCAATTTTAGGTTCATATTCAATGAGTTACAGTCTCCCAAAGTCGAGATATCAAAGTGTAACGACCCAAAAATGAAGGGTTAAAATTTCATTTTTAATATAGCTAAAACATTAATATCATTTACTTCAAACATTACAAATCATCGTTAAGTAAAACATGTATTAGAGTTTATCCCAAAATCATTCATTGCGGAAGTCTTAGGTGTGTTCATTGCGATCAATCCGAGCTCTTCTTTTCCAAAACGTTGATACCTGAAACCAAAACTGTAAACCGTAAGCACAAAGCTTAGTGAGTCTCCCAGAGCATACCCCACACACAATCCACATAACACATATCATATTAGTTGTAAAAGTTATCTCTACCACATAGCCTGCATATAATCATATAATGTAGCCATGGAAACCCTCCAGGGTCTTACACCTAGTGCCACGGGAACCCCCCCCCCCCCCACGTGGTCAGAAGAAGATTGAGAACAACTCAAATCTTAAACACTTAAATTTAGCTTGTTCATTCCATATGGGCAAAGGCCCTATTTATAGGCTCAAAGGAGCCGAGTACAATAATAGAACTGCAATCGGTTGATTGCAATATGACAAACCTATTTACATTAATGCCCCCTAGAGTATTGAAGGTCTTACATACTTTATTTTACTATGCTACCAACACTTTGCATACAATAATTATAAAAGACAAAACCATAAATAATTACAAATTCCTTTCCATATTGAAATGCCACATGTCTTCAATAATGTGTCTTCTTTAATAATGGCTTCTTATGTCATTGCTTACGTCATTCCTCCCGCCTCCGAAAAGACATGTTTTTGAATAATGTTTGCTTGTGTCATGGCTGACGTTAATCTTCCATGAATGGTGTTTCTTCTGTGTTTTCTGAACAGTGACTGCAATTGTGTCTTGGAGCATGCATAATATGTTTTCAAAGTTGTTTCTTGATATCATCGGGTAATTCAGCCAGTTGATGAGAAAAATTTTCGAAAGGTTGTTCGAATGTTTCAATTGCTTTCATTGCTTCCGGAGTGATTTCATTGTCTGTTAAAGAGTAGATAATGAAAGTTTTACTAGCATAATTTACTCTGATTCTTGACCTTTGATCTTTACCGTTGTCAATGCGTGATGATGCTAAATAAACACCGGCAAGTGCAAAGATTAGATGCTCTTGTGTTGGTGATTCACGGGGTAGATCATCTTTTGTTGGTTTTGAGCCGTTGCTTATTCCCATGTTTGCAAAAGTAATACTTGGGACAATTAGTTGAGAATCTTCATCAAAAATTGGGTAGCTAGAATGCATTTTGATGAATAATCCTCTTTCTTGTTTTGCAAAGCGTATTTATAATTTCTGATGATAGTTTGCACAGCAGAGGGAATTCGCTGATGCAGTGTAAATTGGTGCCTTCTAGATAGATAGTGTCGATGAATCCATGAATAAAATAATCCCATAAAGTCATAGGATCTGATAAATCGGCTAGGAAAACTGCTTTAGGGCCTGGGCGCCTGGCTACTGGGTAAAAACCCATTAAAGAATGGACCTCGGTGTAGGAAACGAGGCTATCCCATAATTCAGCGAATTTTTTGGCACATGGTTTTTTCATGGCTTCCTTTTCTTTGGTTGATAGAATGGATTCAAGGGCAATTTTTGCATTTAATTGGTTAAGGGATCTTGGGATGGATACAGGTTTTTGTGGTGTGAAGCTGGTCATAGGTTTTTGTGGTGTTAGGAGAACTGTTTTTGAACATTCTACGTTATCTTTTATTACTGCTTTGTATGCTTCGTTGTATGCGGCTTCTGCTTCATTTTTTGTTTTGTAACTTTTGTGAATAATATTTCTTCCAAGAATATATGAACTGGCAATTCCCCAATTGTCATATACTCCTTTGTTTTCTCCGTTGAAAATCACGTACCATTTCTTTATATTTTGATCTGCTTGAAGTGGTGGATATTCTTCTGGATTTTGTATTATAGGTTGTTTTTCTGACTTGAGCATTGTTTGTGGCTGACTATCATCGGATGAAATTTCTTGAATGTCTTCTTTTGGTTGCTTCGTTGTTGAACTGCTAGCTGCTTCTTCTTTAGGTACTGATTGGGATGATAGAATTTGTATTGTTTGTCGTAGTTGTTCTTTTTCTCGTCTGAGTGCTTCGAGTTGTCTGACTAACGATGCTTCTTGATCTTCTTTCTGTTTGAACTAGTGTTTGATTTGCTTCATGATTGCTTCCATTTCAATATATTTGTGGACTGAATGTTTGCGTTTCTTGAGTACCTGTATGATTTCTGAAATTTGTTTGTTTCGAATGATGATATGAGAATTTTCATATCACTGTATGCTTTTGGTGATATATTCATATCACTGTATGCTTTTGGTGATATATTCATATCATTGTATACTTTATTATTGTTTACTTCAGATGGTACTTTCATACCATTGTATGCTTTAGCAATGTATATTCCAGATATATTAGATATGAGGTTTCCCTCAAGTTCTAATTCTAGTAATACTTTTTTCATAGGATTATGTACCTGCATCTGAATCAGAA